GCGGTGGGAAAAAAAAAGGAAAGAAAAGGGAAAAAAAAAAAGAAGAAAAAGAGAAGCGAGCACTATGGGTGAAAAGGTCACAATGGTTTTGGCACGTATCTTCAAGCACGTTTCGGAGTCTGTGCCTCCTGCCAATACTGGCAACTTCTCAAAACTTTTAAGGAGGTAAAAACATTGTTTAGTGTTTACAAATCTTCTGTACTATAGCAGATGCTCGTCAAATCCGCTATATATAAGTTGACCAGCCTACCTAATATTTGCACTGGCGACTCCCTCCTTACAAAGGAGCGGTCCACACATTTGGGGAGCGAGGTCTGATGGAGTTAGAGACAAAGGACCCTTAATATATTTTTTTTTTCCCCCCTCTTTTGTGATTTTCCTGTTGCGCACCCGGCACAAGCTGCCATTACTGCGGGTCTGCGGGAACCAATGGCTGTCAACTTGGCCAATGTTCAGGTGTAACAAAGACTGCTGGGATACATCGGAGGGGGGAAAAAAAGGGAGAAAAAGGGGGAAAAAATAAAAGGTAGACTACGCGCGCGGCTTTCGGTACACCTCCGTGAACCGATATAGACGGCGACCACGCTGTGTCACCTCCCAAAAATCATTTTTTCCCCCCTCCCCGGTGAGGTTTAGCAGGGAATACAGCAGCGCATGCTCCTGCATTGAGAGCACAATGTGATGCGTGCAATCGGCAAACAACGGCCGAAAACGCCGAGCGGCGCGGTCTGCACGAGCGCGGCGCTGCTTTGCGCAAAACCGCGGATGTCACCCAAAAAACCACCGTCCTCAGCCTGGCGCTAAGTTTCTGCGGCAAGCGCCCGGGCCGAAGCACAATGAAGGCAATTGCTGCCTGTTGACGGTGAAGGCAGAAATAAATAAGAGTTCACTATCGAGGCTACTGTTTGCCAACAGCGGTGCTGATAAGGTGGTATATCCCTAATCACAATATTGTACTTTTACAATGTCTATTGCCCCACTGTTATAACAGCCAGAGGATTCCTTCATCTCCCCGCGGTACTTAAACCCCTGGTTTTGGTGCTTTTCTCCCCATTTTTGTTACACTACGCGCAGGTTAAACCAAGATAATTGGTTTCTATTAACAACTTTTGCGCTCTGCAGAAGGCTGCTTTTCATTTAGGAAACACAACACGGACCAGTATTTACCGGCACTGCACTATATAGAAATCTAAATAATAAACCCCTGCGTGCCATATAGCACTACACAGCGGTTTTCAGCCCTGGCTATCACCCCGCTCTGAGGTACAGAGGAAGAAACTGAGGCAGACAAAAGGGATATGAGACCCTGGTCTCCTTGGGGCCTGTGATGGAACGAGAGAGGATCCGCAATGTCCCAGCCCAAATTTCCCTTCGGTTAGCCATTACTTGGTAATCCTACCTTCACCATGCCCCATAATAAATCGCAGAGTAAATAAATAATTTTCCCACAGTATTTGCCTACCTCCCCTTTGCCATAAACCATTTACCACATCGCACCGAAGTGCAAAGCAAATTTTGCAGCTTATCTGTAGGAAATACCACGGGGACACTCAAAAGTTATTTCTGAGCAGGGATCGTTACCCATAAAATCCCAGTGGTGACGCTGCCTATCGCAACCACCACTGCGCGGACGCAGCGCAGAAAAACTTTGGGGTAGCCAAAACTTTCTGCAAGACCTTCTGAAAAAAGGCAGCAGTGGAAATGCAGGCTTCTAGCGCTTTAATTTGTGCAGTTTTCTTACTGATATATATTTCTATAGAAGTGGTTTTTACTATCATGATTCCCATTGCTCCTCTATTTTTCCGGCCTGTCCAGTCCCTCGACCTGCAAGTCAGGCCGAAACCCGGGGGCGGCCTATGCATCCCATACGTGAAAAACAGAGCCTAGAGCTCCACACACACACACTTTTCTGCAATATAATCACTCAGAAGAACTACAACAGCGTATTATTTTATATAGCAAACATACTACACATCCTCTGAGCACACTGAGCTGCTCCACAGGCAGGATCTTTGCGCTGGAGTCAAGAGATCCTAAGATTTTCATTTTCACCACACACAAAAAACACCTCACATACACATCCCCCCACCCCACAAGCACAATATTATCAAACCAGGAACTTATTTCACAACCTGCTCAGCTTCTAGGTGTATAAATTGTGATATTTCAGGGGAGTTTAAACGTTTCCCGTTCCCCAAAGGATTACCTGGGGGTTTGACCTGAGGGCTGAGTCATCTTCTTCTTTCCCTCCAATTTCAATCCTAAGGGATTTATGCTCCCCATCCCATCCCCATGGGGTGGGGATACCTGGGGAGGCCTCAGGCACCTCTGGCCCCCTCAGACTACTTTGTGCGTAACACATACAAACTTTATTTTTTAAAAAATAACAATAAATAAATTAAAATCAATCTGCTTTCCCCCAAAATCAGGATAAAGGAAGCCGCATGCGGCTGCGATCCCTCCTAGGACAACATTTAAGATAACACCTGTGAAGGATGCCCGAAACGCCGTTAACCAGGGGAAAACAAGAGCTGCTTTTACGCAGCTGCACCTTAAAAACCCATGAGAGGAAAAAAAACCAAAACAACAATAAAAATCCAACAAAAAAGAGGGGGAGTTTTGGCACTCACTTCCCTCACTGCCCCGGGAGGGCGACAACCGGCGTTCCCCGCTCCCTCCCCAAACTCATGCAACCGCCACCGGGGCACGGCACCCGGCACGGACATAAACCATAAAGTTGTAGAAAAGTGGAATATAGAAAGGCACTTACCTGCTGCGTGCACAAAGTATGCCAAATATAAATCGAGTTCCTTAACAGAAACTCCTATATGGTGGGGCTGTACGCACAGCCCGGGGTTAGAGCACTGTGGGGACTTTACAAGGCGCTCGCCATCAGTACTTTCGAGCGGAATACCTTTAAATAAAATCACCATAACAAGGTCCAACCTCCAGACCTTATCTGCCTGGCGAAGGCAGTCAATTCTTCTCATCTTGCCCTTCTGGTCTGGATTGGAAAGAACGCAACACGGAGGCTTTTTTCCTGTGACTGTGAGAACAAAATCCTCCCGAAATTCAGGCCTGATATCTTTCCGGAGCTTTGCCAGAAGTCTGGATGCCCATTTTTGCTTTACCTCGGGTTTTTCACTTAGCAGTTCGTCCTTCACGGCTCTCTCTTCCTCTTTTGACATGCGTTTTTCATGTTTTTTGAAGTATTTTCTTTTTCGGGCTTGCAGGTTGAACCACGTGTACGCAAACGCTCGGACGTGAGGCAGAAGTGCTTCGATGAAGGGATGAAATTCATCCTGAAAAAGTTACAGAGAAGGGACGATGTCACCGAAATCATCAACAAAAAAGCCTCCAGAAACGGGGCTTTTGCACAAGGTGCTAGGGCTTCTTGGGACAGTGAGAATTTAGTGGGTGCTTGTACTTTTTAGGGGCCGTAGGGCTCATACCCCTCACTGACAGACCCTGACCCTGCCACCACCGCTTCACCTTGCACCGACCCAAAACCTTCGCTCCCACCCCTTCAAAACCAGGGTCCAGCTTCAAACAAGCACCCAGGCAGAGGCGGTGCGAGGATGGGGTCCTTTGCCCGAACTCCAAATTGCGTTAAAAAAAGGCAGAACGAGTTAAAAAGCTAAAAACCCCGCCACGAGTCCACTTGCGGAGCGCGTATCTCCCTTTGCTCTCTCCCTGACCCTGCTGCTTGCGGTACAGCCAGCGTATGCCCGCCAATTTGGCAAATCCTAAACATTTGGATGCCAATCAATGTTTGTATGGGGAAGTCTAAAGTATAGTAAAACTTTCCCTAAGATATATTTGGAAATAGCAGCAGGCAGTATAGTAAAATGCCAATGTAGCTGCACGTACAAATACAATGAAGGGAGGTTTTCTCTCCATTTCCTAAACGGTGAAGGGAGTAGAAAGTAACGCAGCTGATTTATCCCGCATGTGCAACAAAAACTAACACTAAAATCTTAAAAGAAAGAAAGTTTCATAATTTATTTTTTTTTAAATCTTGTTGATATTTAGTCAAAAATTAAAAAAATTAAAATCTGACATTCAGGCATATTAGGACAAGCAAAACTCGAAGCCTTAAAATCAAAAGAAACAGGAGAAAAAATGAAAAACGCGGCAACAGAAAACCTTAGCGCGACTTGCGCAAATACGCAGAGAATTATTAATTTTTTCTTTACGCGCTGTGTTGCAATCTCGTCTATTTCAAAAGAAAAGCCCTACTTGGAAAGTTAGTTTGGCCATCCAGAGACACTGCTAGCTTTGTGTAACGACGAGTTAAAGATCACCCCTCTTCCCTGGCGCAAAATTAATCGCGATTAAAATTACGCCGACAAATTTAAAAAAAAAAAAAAAAGAAAATGCAAGAAAGGCCCAACAATTTTGTTTTAAAAAAAAAATAAAAATCCTTTAAAAGTACTACATAAATCAACCAAAGAGATCAAAACATGTTATAATATCGTGGGGCCACGCTTCTTGTTTTGCTCTGAATAAATGAGCGAGCGGGCTCTGGGCTGCTCATAAAACCGTGCGCGGGCTGCGGGGCCTGATCCAGCGCTGCGCTGGGGACCTCCTTGCTTCCACGGGCTGAATTCCCGTTTTGCTCAGGATCGGGCCCTCTGGGGGGAGAAATAAAGTGACTGGTGCAGCGTTTCCCCCAGCACGGGAAGAGCCACCCCCTGCCCTTGCAAGGCAGCACTGGGCATTTTTCAGATTAACTTTTTTTTTTTTTAAGATATATACAATTATCCCATGGGGCACATTTCCTACCCAAACCATTCAAGGTCGTGCAAATATTGTTATCAAAACAGGCATCTCACGTCCTTTCGACACCTTATTTTAACTTGCATTTTTCTTTTCAAAAATTAGGGAAAAACTGAGAGATCAATAGTAGAAATATCTATCAGCAAAACCCTGTTGTAACACAAGACCTTCTGCTGACTTCCCAAAAGCTTTCATTGCACTTATTCTGAGCAGCCCCTGAACTGTAAATACTTAAATTTATAGGTAATATCACAGCATTCATTTTTATTTTCAACACAGAAACTACCAAAACCGGCACAATATATTTCATTACAGCACAGCAGAGCGGCAGTAATAACAAGTACCACGAATGATTATTAAAATGTAAGCAGGTAAAATAAAATAAATCACTCCAATGATTGGCACATTCCTCTTCTCCCCCCCCACTCCCCTCTACTGGAAAAGATCATAGTTTCAAATTTCAATAAAGTTTAAAAAAAAAGAAAAAGAAAGATTGCTGCGAGTTCGCAGTCGGCAGATTCAAAAAGTGCGAGGAGGCACAAACCCAGCACATGGAGCTGCTCTCACCCACAGACACAGCTCTTGTGATGGGGGGGGGGGGAAGGAAAATAAAAATAATAATAAGGGGGGGGGAGAAGGAAAATACTAATAATAATAAAAATATAAAAACGACAGGTCCCAACAAGCTATAAAAAAATAATCAACCCTCCCTTCTGCTCCCTCCTCTCTCATTCGAGGCAAAAAAAGGCCTTTTGTCAAGTGGAAGTTTATCTGCGAGGGTACACACACAGCAGAGGCTCGACAGACCCACAGCGAGCCAGGGGAGCGCGCCCCGTCTCCAAACGCGCCTGGGTACATCCTGAAATATTTCAACTTTTCAGCTTTAAGCAGCGCTTTGTCCTGCCCGGTCTCATGTGCTCGGGACTTTTTTGGCTCGACGCTGGATGCTGTCCAAGAGAGAGTGGCTTTAACCTGCGCTAGGGCTGATTTCTACCACGCGAACCTGAAAGGGGAGGTAAAAACAGCACCCAAAAAACACCACAAAAAAAAACCCCAAACCCCAACACTTTAAAAGACTTTGGAGGGGG